AGGGGCGTGGACCTCCACTGTGATATTTTCCCTCACATCCAGCCGGGGAGAGGAAGATATTAGTAAAAGCCAGCAGGGAAGAGGAAGATATTACCCCCAATATCACAGGGGTGTACATCACCTTGTGATATTGTTCCTTATATCCTGGGATGGAGAAGATAATACTAGTGGCAATATCGCAGGATTTTACACACCCACTTGCTATTGTTCCAAACAACATGATATGACTCCTAGTATCACAGGGGGAGTACATCCTCCTGTGATATTGTTTCTTATATTCAAGGGGAGAGAATGATATTACTCCCAATATCACAGGGTTTGCACACACCTCCTGCGATATTGTTCCTAATATCCCAAAGAGGAGAGCATAATATTACTCTCAATATCTCAGCAGGTGTACACCTCGTTTCTAATATTTTTCATAATATCCAAGATGGGAGAGGATGATAAGACTCCCAATATGCCAAGAAGTGTATAGCCGCCTGTGATATAGTTCCTAACATCCAGGTGGGGATAGCATGATATTACTGCCCATATCGCACCAGTGGTAAAACCCCTTCGATATTTAGCCTACGATCCTGTGGGGAGGGGATGATATTACTCCCAATATCGAAGAAGGTGTACACCCCCCTGAGACACTGCACCCAATATCCATGTTGGGTGACGATGACAATATACTCAATATCACAAGGGATGTACACAAACCCTGGGATATTTTTCCTTATATCTAGAGTGGGAGAAGACACTATTACTCCCAATAACACAGGGACTGTGGCTGTATACCCCTCCTGTGATATTATTCTTAATATCCTAGGGAAGAGAGGATGATACTACACCCAATATCGCAGGGGGAGTACACCCAGCCAGTGATGTTGTTCTTAATGTACTCCATCTCCCTCCACCAGGGATATCGTTTCTAATATCCAGGGGAAGAGAGGATAACATTATGCCCAATATTGCAGTGGAGTGTACACACCTTCCGTGATGTTGTTCCTAGTATCCAAAGGTAGAGACGATGATGTTACTGGCCATATCGCAGGGGGTGTACACCTTTATGTGATATCGTTTTTGACATTCAGTGGGGGAGAGGATAACATGAATCCCAATATCGTTGAAGGTGTACAGACCCCTGTGATGTAGTTTCTAATGTACAGGGGTAAGACCAGAATATTGCTCTCAATATCACAGGGGGTGTAACCACCCTGCCCCCTGTATGTTGTTCCTAATATGCAGCAGTGTGGAGGCTGATAGTACTCCCAATATCCCAGAAGGTGCGCCCACACCTGTGATAGAGTTCCTAATATCCAGCGGGAAAGAGGCTGATTTTACTTTCGATATCGCAGTGGGTGTACACCGCCCCCAACCCCGGGGTATCGTTCCTAATATCCAGGCGGGAAGAATATGACATGGGTGATAATATCGAAGGGAGTGGACACCTCTTCTGTGATATGGTTCCTGATATCCAGGGGGTGAATGGATGATATTACTCCCAATAAAGTAGGAACCGTACAGCCACCCTGGGATTTTGTCCTTAATAACCACAGGGGAGAGATGATATTACTACCAACATTGCAAGGGGTGTACACACCTCCTGTGATATTGTTTCTTATATCCAGGAAAGGAGAAGATGGTATTACTAACAATATTGAAGAGATATACAACCCCCATGGGATATTGTTCTAAAGATACAGGTTGAAAGAGGATGAGACGCCATCCAATATAATAAGGGGTGTACACCCCACCTGTGATATGAATCGTAAAACCTAGAAGAAGAGAGAATGACATTGCTTCCAAAAACACACGGGGTGTACACCTACCTGTGATATTGTTTCTGTCATCTAAAGGAAGAGATGATGATACTACTCCCACTACCGGAGAAGGTACACACCCCCCTATGATATTGTTCCTCATAACTTGTGGGGGAGAGCATGATATTACTTCCAGTATGACAGTGGCTTGACACCCAGTCTGTGATATTGGTTCTGCACACCAACTCTGTGCCCCTCGTTTCCCATGCATTCTCTCCACACTTTTGGAACCTCGTGGGAGGCTTTGTCTTTGGTTACAGATGAAGAGACGAAGGGTCTGAGAGGTTAAGCAAGTTTGTTACTGGAAAGCGGTTCCGATCCAGACCTCAAGAGAGGTTTCCTGGATCTCACAGAAGAAAGAATTCCGGGCGAGTCCATAAAGTGAAAGCAAGTTTATTAGGAAAGAAAAGGAATAAAAGAATGGCTACTCTGGCTGGGCGCAGCGGCTCACTCCTGTAATCCTATAACTTTGGGATGCCGAGGAAGGTGGATCGCCTGAGGTGAGAAGTTCGAGACCAGCCTGGTCCAACATGGCAAAACCCTGTCCCCACTAAAATACAAAAAATTAACTGGGCGTGGTGGCAGGTGCCTGTAATCCCAGCTACTAGGAAGACTGAGGCAGGAAAATCGCTTGAACCCAAGAGGTGGAGGTTGTAGTGAGCCAAGATCACGCCACTGCATTCTAGTTCGGTCAACAGAGCAAGACTCCATCTCAAAAAAAAAAAAAAAAAAGAAAAGAAAAGAAAGAATGGCTGCTCCATAGGCAGAGTGGTGCCAAAGGCTGCTGGTTGCCCATTTTCATGGTTATTTCTTGATCATATGCTAAACAAGTTTTGGACTATTCATGAGTGTTCCAGGAAAGGGGTGCGCAATTCACAGAACTGAGAGTTTCTGCCCTCCCTTCTGAGACCACGTAGGGTAACCTCCAGATGTTGCCATGGCATCTGTAAACTGTCGTGGCGCTGGTGGGAGTGTCTTGTAGCAGCTAATGCATTATAATTAGCATACAATGAGCCGTGAGGACAATCAGAGGTCACTCTCGTGGCCATCTTGGGTTTGGTGGGCTTTGGCCGACTTTACTGCAAACTGCTTTATCAGCAAGGTCTTTATGACCTGTATCTTGTGCCGACTTCCTATCTCATCCTGTGACTAAGAATGCCTAGCCTCCTGGGAATGCGGCCTAGTAGGTCTCAGCATCCCTTTACCCAGCCCCCATTCAAGATGGAGTCGCTCTGGTTCACGTGCCTCTGACAAGTTGGCCTGGGTAGAGTGTTCTCTAGTGTGGTTGTTGGAGCTGTTCCTAGAAGAGGTATTTTCAGTAGGAAACAGGTCTCTGTTAGCCCGGGGACTGGCACTCTGCCCCAGTATGTCGGCCTCATTTTAGTGATGGCAAAACTGGGGCTCAGAGACATCAACTCCCTCATCCCGAACCCCCAGACTGTCAGTGGTGGGCTGGGGTTTGAATGTGGGGCTTGAAGACCCATCATCTCCTCTGGTCCCCCAGTCTCTGCTGCCCAAGAGGAACAGGATCCCAGGATCCCGGCCCCTCATGGCACCAGTCAGGGTGGGTGGAGATGGGGAGGCAGAGTTCCAAAGCTCCCCAGACTCTGAGGCAGGTCGGGGACCAAGAGCAACCCGGACCTGGGGGCCCCACCCCGAGAAGAATGGCTGCAGGCCCGGCCCAGTAGGCAGGAGGTCTGTGTCCTCAGTCAACGTGACGGCGCTTCCAGCTGCTCCAGCCAGGCCGTGCTGTCTTCACGTTTCCAATCATGCGGCCTCCTCTCCAATTCCCAAGCCCAACCCACAGAGACGGCGATCTGGGGTCTACATGAGGTTTGTCAGCAGCTCTGAGCTGCTGCTTCCCGCCAGCCCCGCGGCCGGTTCTGGAAAGCTCTCTGCTGCCCCCTGGTGGGGAGGCTCAGGGTAGGGCTCTGGCTGCAAGCATGGGGTCCCAGAACCTCTTGATTCTGTCACCTCTGCTGGGTGGAAAACCAACCCAGGACTGAACCAGCAGATGGGTGCCTGATTCCTTATTATCAGAGCTCCGCCCACTGGCAAGTCTCTCTCCGGGCCTCAGTTTCCCCTTCCGTTAAACGAGGGGCTTGGGGGATACCAAGAAGGGGTAACTGCTTAGTGAGGATGGGAGGTTTCTTCTGGGGAGATGAATACATTTTGAAACTAGATGGCGAGAGTGGTTGCACAGGACTGTGAATGCACAAATGCCACCACATTAATTGCGTTGAAATAGTTAATTGCATGCGATGTGAAAGTCACCTCATTTAAAGTGTGTAAAAAAGGGGCCTGGGAGAGTACAGTGTATGTGAGAATCACGTGGGACACCCATAGTCTCTGAACCTCGGTTTTCTTGCGTAAACTGGCAAAGAGACCGTGTGAGCCGTGTTCCCTGGGGCCAAGAGATTCCAAGAAGGAAAACCTGGGATTCCTGGGACTAGGATGAGGGCCAGGGGCCGGAAGGGGAGGGGCATGTGGGGATGGCTGGGGTCAGCCCAGATAAGGCTTTCAATACTGGGTAGCAGCGTCTACACAGGCGGAGATCCCTGCATCTCACTTCCTGCAGGGCTGACCAGTGGCCAGAGGTGGGACTGGCCAGGCTCGGCCCAACCAAGTCTGAGAGCAGAGGACACTGAGTGAGGGATCCCCGTCGCCACCCTCACTGGCCTGTGGCTCTCCTGACACCACAAGAGAGGTCCAGGAGCTGACTTTGGGTCCCAATGGGGGACACCATCCAGGCTACAGGCTGGCAGGGTGGTGTGGTGGTCAGTGTACTGGGCTCTGCGTGTCTGCCCCTACCTGCTGTGTGACGGTGGGCCAGACACCTAACCTCTCTGTGCCTCTATTTCTTCAATGGTGAACAGGGACACTAGCAGCCCCCACATCCGATCACAGTGGCCTGAAGGTTAAAGGCAACGGCGGCACGAGACGTACAGTAAGAGCTCTGAGCAGGGAGAGCAGGGAGCTGCCCAGGGAGTTCCACCACCATCTCCCATCTGGCCGCCGAGGAAACCGAGGCTCATGGTGACCTGGCCAGGTCTGTTGGACTCAGGGTCCTTCTCATCCCGAAGATCAGAGAGCTGTCACCAGGGAAGGAGCTGGCCCCTAGACACAGCCCAGGAAGCACACAGAGAAGGATGCCCTGGGGACTTCGGTATGTTATTGCAAAAAAAACATTAATTGCTATTTGAACCCTGCTTTCATGCCTCCATTTCCCAGAAAATGAGCCACGGAGACACCAGGAGAGGCAGGAGACCATCCTCCTTGCACAAAACCCATTCCCTTGGATGCTGTCCTCAGCGAGGGTGGCTGAGGGCCAACCAGGGGGCCCACCCGCAGAGTGGCAGAGGAGGTAGGTTGACCCTGCGGATGTTGAGCTCTGTGGTGAAGGTCCTGGCCTTCTGGTAGAAGAGGATAAACTTCTCACGGTCCAGGAGGAAGTTGTGGGAGATGGTGGCCGGCCACGTGTAGGTCTTCAGCTGTGCCCTTCTTGTTGCCCAGGTCCATGGCGGCTGCCAGGGCCAGCTGGTAGTACCCGGCTGCATCAAACGGGTCCTGAAGGGGACAGGCCATGCTCAGCAAAAGGGGGACTCGGAGCCCGTCTTCCCAGAGGCCGTTCCTGTCTCCAGGTCATTCCACATGTCCAGCCAATGCTGGCTCACCCCATGAGCCCCGAAGCCTGTGACACTGCTGTGGTCTCAGCTGCAGGAGGTGGGGATGACCCTGACACCCCTGGAAGCCTTCCTGAGTGTCCCTACGCCCCACTCACCCCAAGCCTCCTGCCCCAGTGCCACCCTCTCTGCAGGCAGTGGCTGCTTTCCCCATGGGCTGAGGTCAGGGCAGATCCTGCCTGCTCTGACAGTTCCATGCAGGACTCGTGGCTCCAAGCCACAGCAGGGGCACAGCGTTGAGTGACCCAGGCTCCCCTCTGGCCCCTGTCCAAACTGACCATTTCCAGGCCCTCCACGGGACAGGCCAGGTACAAAACCATCTCACAGGTGTCCTCCCTGGCAATGATCCCTGAAATATTGATGGAGTGTGACTCCCCAGACATCCACTCCTGTTTTCAATGCATCTTTGGCTCAAACTCACCATCCCTGGGTTGGGATGCCGTCTCCCAGACCTCCTCCTTGACCCTCCCATCCCCCACCCGGCACCTCTTCCACATGGGGGTCACCCAAGGAACCTCTCTAAGACCCATGCCTGGCCTGTTCCTCTTTGCCATCTCAAGATGGCTCCCAGGGCCAATGAGAAAGTCCAAGACGCAGCAGTCCATTCCCTCACTGCCCCGCCCCACACACAGAGCAGGGGCGTGAGAAGGTCCCGAGTCACCGCCACTGCTCATCCAATGGCCCCCGCCCAGCCGAACACTGGACTCTGTGCTGGGTGTGTGGCTGAGCCTAACGTCCTTGATCCCAGTCTGAGGGACCTGGGAGTGAACACTGACCACACAGGGTGGCCCGGGCTGTGCCAGAGGGAAGCCCAGGAGACCCCAGACTCAGCCGGGGATGGAAGGCAAAGGCTTCCTGAAGGGGTGGGGGCTTCCCAACTAAACAGGAAGGAGCCAGCCAATGCATATGTCTCTGCGTGTGCCTGTGTGTGTGCCTGTGCGTGTTTGTGTGCCTGTGTGTGTGCACGTGTCTGTGTGTGGGCGCCTGTGTGTGCATGTGCATTTGCGTGTGCATTTCCATGTGCCTGTAGTGTGTGAAGCAGCTGTGAGCAGCAGGCTGAGCCAGGACACATCTAATCCACCCTATTCCAGGGCTCACTCTCACGTGTAGACTAAAGGGGACCCCATTTTAGAGGCAATCGGCAAAGATGCCCATTTACCTCTGCTTCTCTGCCAGCCTTCCAGGCCCCATCCAGCCCGGCTTTTTCTCCCACTCCTCTGGGCCCTGGGTCCAGGGTCTCCTATACAAGGAGGAGGGTGTAGCCTTGGAAAGACAGCCGCCCTTGGGGAATTCTGAGGGGGCCTCCCTGTGGGAAGCTGGCCTGCGCTGACAGCATAGTCACGATGAGGCCCAGAGGGCTGTGCATGGGAAGGAGGTGAAGGAGGCCTCTGCCCCTCGACCCCAACCGTGGACTTTGGCCTTTCAGGTACTACTTGGCCCTTTCCTTTCTCCTGGACAGGGGGAGTGGGCGGCAGGCTTGACCAAGTGAGATAAAGGCCTCTTCTGGGAGGTCGGTCCCCTTGGGTCCCAGGAGAGACCCTGGGCAGTGAGCAGTGTCCCTCTGGGTCTGACACTTGGCACCTCCCTGTCTGGCTGGGACTTGGGAGGCCACAGGGACCACTTCTGATCACCAGGTGTCGCCAGCACTGGGCAAGGGCCTCCCGGGCAGCCCCAAGCCTGTGGTGGGGGATACGGGGCAGGGTCTTAGGGCTGCCCCAGCTCCTCATGTTGTTCTAAGGCCCCCAAGATTTTGGCCCCTGGACTGGAGTGCCCTGGCCTCTCAGCCCCTAAGGAGCACTGACGAGGTGCCAGTGCGATGCTGAGGAGGGGTCGTGCCTGCTGGGCAGAGGGGTGGAGACACCCCAGGTCTGAGTCTGCCAGTCCCAGCTCTCTACCCCTGCAGGGCTGGGGGCAGAGGGAGCACAACACCTCCCCTCAAGACAGACCCGACCCAGCAAGGTCTCAGCCTGGCTGGCTGGGCCCCCGCCCCACTACACCTGCCCTAAGCTGGGGTTTCCCTGTCTGTGAACCCAATGGTAAGACACTGGGGTCCCACCCAACCCTTCCTGGGTGGTGTGAAGATTCAAGGTGTCTCGGGACTCCAGGAAGGAGTTACTCAGTGCAGGCTGGCACCCTGGGCAGGCTTCCTAGAGGAGGCGCCAGGATTTGGGTTGGATCTTGCAACGTGGATTCAGTGTGAGGATGATGCCGTCCTCTGAAATGTCCTTCTCCCGACCCTGTTTTCTTTGTTAAATGCAACTTGACACTTGACTGTCAAGACTCAGTTTGGTGTCACCTCCTCCAGGAGGGCCCCCCTGACTACAATCCTCCTTCTTTACCCAGAGGCCACCATTGCCCACTCATGTGTCAGCCTCCCTGGCTGAGACTGAGTTCTTGAGGGTGGGGCCTGGCCATCTTGGCAGCTTGGTTGTATCTGCTAACCTTGCCGGCTCCTCCAGCTGGGTGCAGAGCTCCAGGGAGGCCACTGGGCCATTCCTAAGGAAGGCTGGAACCCAGGCCTCTGGGGTGTGGGTGGAGATCCCACTCCAAGGGGTCTGGGAACACCCCGTGCCCTAACCCTGCCACCCACCTTCAGGTCATAGAAGATGATGTCACCGAGCACCAGATACATGTTCACGTAATAGACGGTCTCCTCGTCGAACTCCAGCAGCGAGTTGCAGAGCTACAGGGCCTTGAGGTAGAAGTGCTCCACCAGCTTGCCATGGCTCAGCCGGTGGTGCAGGGCGGCCAGCCGTGGTAGGCCATGCGCTCGTTCACTGGTCCCCTGGGTGCAGGCCAAAGGTGCAGGTGTGAGGACGTGGCTCCCTGGGGCAGGGAGGGCTCAGGCCCCTCAGGAGCAGGTATGCAGACCCCGGGCTGCATGCCTGGCTTGCCTCCAGGCACCTGTGGTCACCTGGGCAGCTCTGGCCAGTCCCTTCCAGGTTCCCAGACTCACTTTCCCATGTGCAAAGCAGAACTAATAAGGCCTGCCCCTGTCTACTGTGAGGCTTTGGAAAGTCGGACTTGGATGGCCCAGTTCTGTGTCTACACAGAGCCACCTGCCTTTGCTCACTGGTTTTAACCAGGAGAACCCAAAAGCCATGCAGTCCAGGTGCTCCTGGGCTCCCCGGCTCCAGGCAACCCACAGACGTGACATCCGACTCCTCCTGGGTGTGGCACGATCAGAGCCCCCTACCTTGGGGAGTCAGCTGCACACCTACTGTGTAATGGGCCACGGGGCACAAGGCGCTGGGGCATGTGGCCTGCCTAGGGTTCCCTGTCTCTGGAGGGGGACAGACGACCCTGGCACAGCACCAGGGGATGCCCGGCCTTAAGGGGCAGACTGCTGGAAGGGGAACTGGGATTTTATCAGCCAGAGAGCTGTGTGGTTGATGATGGTGGGAAGGGCACAAGAGAAAGGGAATGTGCCACTCAGCCTGGCACAGGGACCAATGAGATGCCTGGCATGTCTGGAAGGCAGAGGGCACACTGGGCGGCCCTTGTGGTCAGCAGCAGGAACAGGCAGAGGAAGCAGAGCTCAGGCAGGCAGGGAGCTCTGCACTGCGTGAGAGACCTTGGGCTGTGCCCCACAGCCGGACGGGGAAGCCCGTTGGGCAGATCTGCCTGCCTGGACAGGAGACCAGGAAAATCCAGCAGCTGTTTCAGCTCCTGGCCTGCAGACCTGGAGGCTGGGCTCTGGCAAAGTGTGGGTCCTGGCAGGGTGGGGGCTCAGGGGACTTACCCAGAGTGATGCTGAGTGCTAGGGCCATGTAGGCAAACTCCAAGCCCTCCTGGGGCTTCTCCAGTGTGGCCTGGAGTGCCACCAGCTTGTTGCACAGCTGAAGCTGCAGCTCCACTTGCGGTTGCCCGTAGTCACTCCAGGGGCAGGGCCTGGTCCTACCACACAGGCAGGTGGGGTCAGGTTTCCCACAGCACCCACCTTGCCCAGCGCCCTCCTCAGAGCTCAAACATGTACTTGGAGCTTCCCATGCCCAAGCTACCCCTGCACCTCGACACAGCTCTGTGCTCTGGGATAACACACAGTTCAGACACCCAAGTTGGGGGCTGAAGAGTCACCTGAGGCCCATCCAGCTACACCTGACAGCCTCAGACCAGCCTCTCCCACCTGGGCACCGGGGGTCTGACTGGGGGGAGCCAGCACTCCTCTCTGCTCTAAAAACACCACATTTATCTGTGCCCAGGGCTGAGCAACACTGTGAGCTCAGAGGAAGGGAGAAGCCGTCCCACTTCGGGGTACATGCAGACCTGGGTCTCCCACTGATGCTGTGTGTCCTTTGACATGTCCCTGTGCCTCTCTGAGCCTCAGTTTCCTCATCTGGAAGATGGGGACAGGACTTCTCACTCATGGTTGCTTGAGGTCATCAGGTACAAGGGTAGAACCATTGTCACGTCCAGGCCCCGAGCGTTTGTCTCGGGCAGGGGCATGGTCAATATCATTCCCGGTGAGACCACTTGGAAACTCATCATGTGCATGGGTGGCCCTGCCTCCAGGTGGGAGACCTCTACCCTGCCACACCTGTGCCTCAGCCCTCCAGGTGCCCCACTGAGGCCCACCCACATCAGCCCACAGGCCAGCTCACCCGGTAGAAGGACATGCCTTCCTCCCGCTCCCAGGCCCCATTGAAGAAGATGTCTCCAGCTGCCTCAAACAGCTCCAGCCCCAGGTTGGGGTCGCCTGTGTACAGGTCCACATTCTGTGCCACCTGAAAGGAGACAGAAGTTCCCTCAAGACCCACACCTAGCGAGGTGGCCACGCGCACCTTTGCCAGCCTCCTTCCTCTCACACACTACAGGTACACCTGAGCATTTTTCAGACCCTGTGCATGAGGGCTGCCCCCACCACTGGCATGAGGACAATGAACTGATGCACCTGAGTGCCAGGAGGTGACAGAGCAGCTGCAGCCCAGGAGCCCGATACCTGTGAATCCTACCACCAGGGCTAGCCCTAGCCCACTCCCCCTGCACTCAAACCAGTCTCTGTGGCCCCCAGATTGCTGGGAGCCCAGCCCCTGGTTCCTTTCTGCGTTGCCACATCCCTGCCACATCAGCAGTGTTTGTGGGTGGGCCTGGTCCCCTCTTGGCCATGAGCTCTTGATCCTTCTCCTCAGCTCAAGGAGGTATACAGCAGGTGCTCAATAATGAAAACTTCACCAGGCTCGTGGGCTTCACAATTTGTTCCAGATCACACTGTGTTTGGGAAAGCCTCTGAAAACAGTCACTATGATAGATTCATTTTGTAAGGAGATGTGCCACGTGTCGCTTGGAGCAAGTTCTGTGTGTTAACTGAGTGGTCGCATTATTTGAGCATGTGCTGTATACCCGCAGATGCTGTGCACTGTGAGGGGCCACGCCTCTGCCCTCAGGGAAAAGATGCTGGCCACTGGGGGAGGATGTGAGGGAACCAGTTGGAGGGAGGGAAAAGGCACACAACAGGTGCTCAGCAGTGGTTTAGGAATGAGTGGATGGATGAATGAATGGATGAGAAGATGTAGACACATGGATGGATGGATGGGCGTGTGGCTAGATTAATGCTTGGATGCATGGATGGATGGATGGATGGAATGATGTGTGTATGTCTGTATGTATGTATGGGTGGGTAGATAATGTATGGATGGGTGGAGGGTAGATGATGTATGTACATGTGGATGGATAGATGGTGGATAGACGAATGTATAGATAAATGGACAGATAGATGAATGGAGGGATGGATTAATAGGTAGATAGGTGGGTGGATGGATGATGGAAGAATGGATGGATGAACAGGTGGATGGATGGATGATGGAAGCATGGATAGATGATGGATAAATAGATATGTGGATGGATGATGGATGGATGGAAGGATGAACGGACAGATGGATGGAACAACAGGTGAATGGATAGATAAAAGGATGGATAAATGATGGATGGATGAATGGACAGATGGATGGATGATGGATGGATGGAAAGATGAACAGATGAATGGATAAATGGACAGATGGATGAATGGTGGATGGATGGAAGGATGAACAGGTGGATGGATGGAAGGATAGATGAACAGGTGAATGGATAGTTGATGGAAGGATGAATGGACGGATGGATGGATGAACAGGTGAATGGATGGATGATAAATGGATGAAGGATGGATGATAAAAGGATGGATGGATGGATGATGGATGGAAGGATGAACAGATGAATGGATGGATGAATGGATAAATGGATGGATGGAAGGATGAACAGGAGATGAGTGGATGGATGGATATATGGTTGAATGGATGGATGGATGAAGGATGGATGGATGGAAGGATGAACAGGTGAATGGATGGATGATGCAAGGATGGACAGATGGATGGAACAACAGGTGAATGGATGGATAAAAGGATGGATAAATGGTGGATGGAGGGATGGACAGATGGATGGATGATGGATGGAAAGATAAACAGATGAATGGATAAATGGACAGATGGATGAATGGTGGATGGATGAATGGTGGATGGATGGAAGGATAGAAAGATGAACAGGTGAATGGATGGTTGATGGAAGGATGAATGGACGGATGGATGGACGAACAGGTGAATGGATGGATGATAAAAGGATGGATGATGGATGGATGGAAGGATGAACAGATGAATGGATGGATGATGGAAAGACGGATGGATGGAAGGATGGATGAATGAATGGATAAATGGATGGATGGAAGGATGAACAGGAGATGAGTGGATGGATGGATGGATGGAAGGATGAACAGGTGAATGGATGGATGATGGAAGGATGGATGGATGAATGGATGAACAGGTGGATGGATGGTCGCTGAATGAACGGATGATAAAGGAATGAATGAATGATGGATGCACGGATGGATGGATGAATGGAAGGATGAACAGGTGAATGGATGGATGATAGAAGGATGGATGGATGGAAGGATGAGCAGGCGAGTGGATGAATGATGGAAAGATGGATGGATGATGGATGGATGGAAGAATGAACAGGTGAATGGATGATGGAAGGATGGAAGAATGGATGGAGGGATGGATGAACAGGTGAATGGATGGATGGATGATAAAAGGATGGATGATGAATGAATGGATGGATGGACGGACAGGTGAATGGATGGATCATGGATGGATGGAAGATGGTTGGATGGATAACGGAAAGATGGAAGGATGGACGGATGGACGGACCAAGAGGTGAACAGAAGAATGATGGATGGATGATGGAAAGATGGAAGGATGGATGGATGGATGGATGGACGAACAGGTGAATAGATGGATGGAGAGGTGAATGAATGGATGGTTGCATGGAAAGATGAACAGGTGAATGGATGGATGATGGAAGGATGGATGGATGGATGGAAGGACCCACAGGTGTATGGGAAGATGATGGATAGATGATGGATTGATGGATAGAAGGATGAGCAGGTAAACAGATAGATGATGGAAGGATGAATGGATGGGTGGATGGACAGAGAGTGAACAGCACAGGGGTCCTCCTGCATCCCTTGTCACTCACCTGGATGTACAGGTCCACCAGCTCGCTCTGCCGCAGGATGTAATAGATCTTCCCTGCTTGCAGCCAGGCATGCGCCGCCTCCTCTTTCCTCTGGAGGTCAATGAAAATCTCCAGACTTCGTTTGGTGTAGTCCAGAGCGGATTTGTAGGCCCTGGAATCAGACGCAGGTGTCAGAACAAGGGCTCTCATCCTCCTGGAACCAGTCTGCCTCCTCCCGTGGGTCTGGCGACAGATGAACTGGAATGTGCAGATTGGGAACAGCCCTCTTGTGTGTGCAGTGTTCTGCCCTTCCCAGGCTGCTGGGAGGGCCAGGGTGAACACACACGGCATGGAAAAGATGAAGGACATCCTTCTGAGGGAATCAAGCATCATGCTGCCCTGTGGCAGGAGGAGTGTGCTAGTCCATCTCCCCTGCCTCCCAGACATGGCCTGTGTCTTCTCCAGATGCACCAGGAGCCGTTAGTGTTCAGAGGCTATCTGGGCCGATGATTCTCAAGGTGTGCAGGCATCACAGTCACCCGGAGGCCTGTCCTTATAGCTTGCTGGCCCTGCCCCCAGAGCTTCCGGCTCCACAGGCCTGGGGCAGGCCCTAGAACTCCCACTTGCCACAAACTCCTAGGTGACATGGATGCTGCTCTACTGGTCCAGGGACTACACTTTGCGAAGCATAGCTCTAGCACACTGGCCCATTTTCCTTCTGTGAACCTGAGGCCAAGACTGGAGCCAGTCTCCCAGGTCCCCATGGAATCTGGCTCCTTCCCTGCTCTCTCAGTAAGTCCAACACTCGAGGGGGTGTGACTGCAGCAATGTCACTGGGCCCTATGGGTGGGGTGGCCAGGGCCATGGTTACCCCACCAGGTCAGGATGCTTGGGGGAAGGGGAGTAGGCCACATATGGGACGTGAGACCTTGAAACCCTGCCCCAGGGAAGGAGGTGAAACAACTGGCTTTGTCTTCTGTGGGAGAGAAGCCACAGGTGGCTGCTGTGGTCACATTTAAGGGGACAGATGAAGGCCAGGAGTGAAGATTCAGGGCAGGCAAAGATCAGATGACAAAAGCCACCATAATAGGAAGAACAGCCCAGAGTGCACGTACTGCCTCTGCTGGGGTTGAGATGACCTTTGACCCAACAAGGGAGGCTCAAGCTGGGACTCACGGGCCAGCAGCAGCCTGGGACGACCCCAGGCCCACCAGCTCAAAGCATCTGATGCCAAAGAACCAAATGATCAAAAGGAGAGGGGCTGATGGCGCCCTGAGCCAGCTTCCCTGTGCCCCCTCCCTGCCCTGCCCGCCCCCACCTCCACCACTGCAAAGCCAGCCCTTACCACTCCGTGCCCAGGGACAGGTAGAGCTGACTGATGGCCTCCAGGATCTGCCCCTCCAGCACCTTGTCGGCCACTTTGTGGGTCAGGGAGAGCTGGAGCTTGTGGTAGATGACACACTGGGCCTTCCTGGGCATGATGACGCTGTAGAAGTAGCACAGCCACTGGACGGCCCGCAGCTGGCCTGGGCAGAAGACAAAATGGAAGATGTTAGTCTCCCAGCATTGAAGCGAGGCTGGCTGTTCTCGGAGGCCCCTGCGCCATGCTTGCCTCTTTCACCTCTGTGAGCCTGGGTCCCATAGGCGGGGAGCCTGAGCGCAGACAGGCCATGCACCTGTGCAAGGGCAGATGCCAAGCACACCGTGACATGGGCACAGCTTGGTACAGATGCTCATGGTACAGGCCGGCCTTCTTTACAACTCCCAGGGCTGAGATCCTGGCCAGGCTCGGCCCCTGCACCAGGCCATCTATTTCTGCTTCACAAAGTCCCTCTGGTCAGGACCAGGGCCACCTTCAGCCTGAGCTGATGAGGCCAGGGGCACAAGTAGCCCCTGTCACAGATGGAACTCGCAGAGAGCAAAGCCAAGCGTCATGTCTGCCACACACGGCATCATGTTGGGGGAATGGGGTTCAAAGCCGGCGCTGGCGTTCCCACACATGCTTCTCTCATGCAACCAGGCTCCCAAGCCACAGGCTCACTGGCCTCTCCCAAAGCCAGGGCGCTGGGAACAGTGGAAAGCTTCTGATTTTCTAGTGTGAGAAACGTTCCGGAGATTAATACAGGAAACCAGGTACGCCGAATGGACATCTGTCACCCATGCCACCCAACAACAGCTGAATACACAGTCCTCTCGAGCACCCATGGGATATTCCCCATGACGGACCATGTGCCAGGCCACAAAATGAGCCTCAGTGAATGGAGAAGGACTGAGACCAAAGCAGAGGTGTTCTTCAGCTGTACTGGCATGAACACTCGAAATCGACAGTGAAGGAAATGTGGGAAATTCAAAAATATGTGGAAATTACACACTCCTAAACAACCAGTGAGTCAAAGAGACCATCAGGGAAACCGAAAACTAATTGGAGAAGAATGCAAACAAATGCACAGCCCGGGCCAGCGCGGTGGCTCACGCCTCTCATCACAGCACTGTGGGAGTCGAGGCGGGAGGATCGCTTGAGTCCAGGAGTTTGAGATCAGCCTGGGAAACAGTGAAATCCTGTCTCTATTAAAAAAAAAAAAAAAAAAAAAAAAAAAAAAATTAGGCGGGGGGGGGGTGGTGCACATACATCTGTAATTCCAGCTACTCGGGAGGCTGAGGCATGAGAATGGCTTGAATCTGGGTAAAAGTTGCAGTGAGCCAAGATTGCACCACTGCACCCCAGCCTGGGCAATAGAGCAAAACTCTGTCTTAAAAAAAAAAAAAAAAAAAAAAAAGCACAGCGTATCAAAAATTCCAAGATGCAGCTAAGGCAGTGCTGAAAGGGAAATTTATAACTGCAAATGTCTACATTCAAAGAAGAAAAATCTCAAATTAAAAACCTAACCTTCCGCCTTGAGAAACTAGAAAAAGAACTAAACGCAAAGTGAATAAAAGGAAGAAAATAATAAACGTGAGAGTGGAGATGGGAAGTAAAAATACAGAGAATGGAAAAACAAGACATAATCAACAGAACCGAAGGTGGGTTTTTTGAAAATAATAACAAAATTGACAAATCTTTCACCAGACTAACCAAGAAAAGAAAGACGGGACACAAATGACTAAAATCAGAGACTGAGCACCATGGCTCACGCCTGTCATCCCAGCACTTTGTGAGGCGGAAGTGGAAGGATCGCTGAGGCCAGCATTGAAGACCAGCCTGGGGGAACATGATGAGACCCCATCTTTAATAAAAATAAATAAATAAATAAATAATTAAAAGCCCAAGTTTCTAAAATCAGAAATGAAAGAGGAAACATTATTGCCGACCTGACAGAAATAAAAGGATTCCATGAAAACACCACGAACAATTGTACACCAAGAAATCAGACCATCCAGACACAACAGCCACACTCCTAGAAGGACACAAACTACCGAAAGTGACTCAAAAATGACCCCAAGTAAGCATGTGGGGTATCAGCGCCGCCCTCGGTCTCCTCGACCGTTCAGCGCAGGGTGGGGAGACAGGGAAGCATGATCCCCTTCCCTGGCCTGCATTTCCGAGTCTGAATCCCCCAGCACCCCGGGGAGGGCCTCGTAGGAGGAGGTGTCACAGGCTGTTGTGCCAGGAGCCACCGGAGGCTGCAGTGGGGGCTGGGGCGCTGGGTTCCTGGAGGGTCTCCTTCCAGTCAGAGAATGCCCCTGGGGAAGAAGCCTGGGTCAGAACCCCCCACCCCTCCTTGGGCAGATATGTGGGACCAGGGCCCCTTCACACGGTCCTTTCCAAAATCTCATCCCTCCTAGGGCCAGGAGTGGGTGCCAGGCCTGTGCTGGGAAATGGGCAGGTTTGGTCACAGCCCCTGGGGCTCTGGTCCAGGCCACAGGAGGCACCTCTGAGTGGTCTCACTATGCCATGACAAAGCGCTGCAAGGCAGAGGGGACCCACAACAGTATCCCTCGACTCAGCCATTTCCCTGGACTCAACTTCCTCATCTATCCTCTGCGGCCTAGATTTCAGACAGCCCTGCCCACCTACTGTCCGTTCACTGCTCAGTCTGCAGTGACTGTTCGATAGCACCCCATGGCTCCCCAGTGCTCTTGGGGAAAAGGCCAAGCCACAGCCTGAGGCCCCAGGCCCTGCTTAGCTCTCCAGAAGAGCTTCTCACCATCCAGCACCCAACCCACCCGCTCCCAACTCTGCACCTCCCTGCATAAGCCCTGCTCACTCACCCCCGCTCACACCCCACTCACTCACCCCCACTCACACCCCACTCATCCCCGCTCACATTCCCACTCACTCACCCCACTCACTCATCCCCGCTCACACTCCTGTTCACTCACACCCCATTCACTCACCCCCACTCACCCCCCACTCACACCCCACTCATCCCCGCTCACACTCTCATTCACTCACCCCATCAAACCTCCGCTCACCAGCACTCACCCCCACTCCCTCAACCCTGGGCCTTCACACAGGCTACATCACCAGCCCCTCCTCCACCACCAGCCCCTCATCCACCACCTATTAGTTGACTAAATCCTCTCAACCCTCTGGTTCTAGACTAAAGAGACTTCCCTAACCCGGGGCCAAGTGCTGCCCCACCATCACGCCACTCACCCTTTTGTGGCTTCTGTGGCCTGAAGCTCACATTCCTACGCTCAGTCTCTGCCACCCCAGGACCCTACAAGCCCCATTTGTGGGTGGGGCCTGGCACACTCTGCACACAGCCCCTCCCAGCCACTACCCTGGCCTCCGGGGCAGCTGGAGAGCCACGTGCCTTTGCTCCAGAGACTTTGGCAGAGGGTGGAACCACCCCCTCCCTGAGGCAAACCTACAACAACCTTCCCTTCCCCACTGGCTTCCCGGCCTCCTCTGGAACCTTGTGCCTGCATCCCAAATGTACTGGGATGGATCCCATTCCCCAGGAAATTCCAAGAGCCCTTGGTGGGTCCACATCACCAGGCTGTCCACATGTGGACCCTGAGGGGAAGAGACAGAGCCGCAGAGGGGAGACGGGAGGGCCTCCCTGAATCAGCCCCTCAGGAAGGAGCAGACCTTTCAGGGACATCAGTTGAGGCCCCTGTAACCTAAGGCTCTGAATTCTGCTACCCGCTGAGGGCAGTGTGGCCTCCCATCTCTGAGGCAGAGCACAGGGTGAACTGCAGCTTCTCCAGGTCATGAAGAAGGAACCCACAGCTATATGTGGGCCCCAGCAGTGGAAAGGATGCCCCACCTCGGTCGGGGACCAGGCGGGGGTCAGCATGTTCATTGGAAGAAGTGTGGGACCCCACGGCCTCCAGTGCCAGAGTAGACGGGAGGTTCAGGCCCACCTCAGGCGACATCCTCCAAGCCCCCAGCCCACACCACAGAGGGGTGACTGTCGCATCCAATGCCCACCGTACTCAGCTCTGTCACCACCCCCCGCGTTACCCCAAGGCCCAGCTCATAACCAGAGGAAGCCTGAGCCACGCGCAAAACCCACCTTGTTCCTGCGGCTGCTCGGTCTCAGCTTCCTCTACTGAGTCTGGCAAGGGAGAAAAGAGAAGCAATGAACACCCCCAGCCAGCACCTCTGGTTCCATGTCAGGTTCAGCTGGGTGTCGGTGTTGCAGGGTGAGAGCATTGCAGGGTGCAGGGGTTGAAAGTAATATCATCCGAGGGCCGGGCGCGGTGGCTCAAGCCTGTAATCCCAGCACTTTGGGAGGCTGAGACGGGTGGATCACGACGTCAGGAGATCGAGACCATCCTGGCTAACACGGTGAAATCCCGTCTCTACTAAAACATACAAAAAACTAGCCGGGCGAGGTGGCAGGCGCCTGTAGTCCCAGCTACTTGGGAGGCTGAGGCAGGAGAATGGCGTAAACCCGGGAGGCGGAGCTTGCAGTGAGCTGAGATCCGGCCACTGCACTCCAGCCTGGGCGACAGAGCGAGACTCCATCTCAAAAAAAAAGTAATATCATCCTCTTCCCTCCTGGATCATGGGAACAACATCACTGGGGGGTGTATACTTTCTGTGATATGGGGAGTAATATCGTCTTCTGTGCCTTGGAATATTAAGAACAATATCATGGGGGGGCGTGTACATCTTCTGCAATATTGGGAATAATATTATCCTCTCTCCTCCTGCATACTAGGAAAGATATCAGAGTGGGTGTTCACCTCCCGTGATATGGGGATTAATACCATCTTCTCCCCTTCCGGATAGCAGGAAGAGTATCACACGGGGGTGTACAGTGTCTGCGATACTGGGAGTAATATCAACCTCTCAGCCTTGGAATATTAAGAAGAATATCACAGGATGGATGTACACCCACGGCCATATTGGGAGTAATATCAGCCTCTCCTCTCCATGGATATTAGGAATAATATCCCAGGATGTACGCCTCCTGCTCTATGGGGAGTCATATCATCCTCTCCCTTCCAGGATATTAATAACAATATCACAGGGCGGGTGAACACTGCCTACGATACTGGAATTATTATCATCCTCTCCCCCTCCAGATACTAGGAACCATATCACAGAAGAGCTGTACCCTCCCTGCGATATTGGGAGTAATATCATACGCTTCTTCCATGAGTATTAGGAGCAATATCACCGGGTGACTGTCCATTCATTGCTATGTTGGGAATCATGTCATACTTTACTCCCTGGATATTAGAATCAGTGTCACAGTGTGAGTGTACACCTACTGCGATATTAAAACTAAGATCATGCTCTCTGTCCCTGGATATTAGGAACAACATCACAGGTAGGTGTACACTCCCTCGATATTAGGAGCAATAATATGATTAATTAGTAAACATCAATGATCAATTTTAATAATTATCAGGCTGGTCTCGAACTCTTGACCTCAGGTGATCTGCCCGCCTCAGCCTCCCAAAATGCTGGAATTACAGGGTGAGCCATCGCGTCCAGCCAACACTTCTTACATCTCTTTTTGGACCTCAAATTTAGCATGCCCAAAATGCACTTTTGATTCCTCCTGCTATAACCCACTCCTCCCATAGTCTTCCCGATCCCAATAACAGCATCTCTAGCCTTCCAGTTACTCAGGCCAAAATCCTTGACATCATCCTTAAAACTTCTTTTTCTCTCTCTTGTCATCCAAGAGAGAGACTCTCCTTTCAAAATAAATGCCAGACCTAACCCCTTCTCACCTTCCTCATCATTTCCAACCACGTCCAGCCCTCATCATAGCGCTCTGGGTTACTGTAAAAGCCTCCCAATCGCCAGGCAGAGTGGCTCACGCCTGTAATCCCAAGCACTTTGGTAGGCCAAGGCAGGTGGATCATCAGAGGTCAGGAGTTCAAGACCAGCCTGGCCAACATGGTGAAACCCCTCTACTAAAAATACAAAAAATTAGCCGAGCATGGTGGTGGGTGCCTGTAATCCCAGCTATTCGGAAGGCTGAAGCAGGAGAATCACTTGAACTCAGAAGGCAGAGGTTAGAGTGAGCCGAGATCGTGCCATTGCACTGCAGCCTGGATGACAAGAGCGAAACTCCATCTCAGAAGGTTAAAAAAAAACAGCCTCCCAACCCAACTCTCTCCTTCGCCTTTCACCCTGCCCTGCATTCTACCTTCCACTCTCAAACATTTCAGAAAAAAAAAAATTATATCCACAGAGAGAGAAAAAGAAAGTGCAAATGGGGTGAAATGTTTGGGGAATCTGAGGGAAGACCATACGGGAATTCTCTGTACTATTTTTGCAAACTGGTTCAATAAGTCTGGGATTATTTCCGAATTCAAGAGTTAAAAGAACAGTAGGAAAGATATAAAAGAAATCTAAAAAAAAAAAAAAAAGAAAGAAAGAAAAAAAAATCTCCCTTGTGAATCCATCCTGTATTTCCCCTGGCAACTTAAGGACGCTCTCAACTAAGCACATCTATTTTTTCATGAACACTTGAACCCTTGCCTAGTTTTGACTTTCTGTGCTTGGCAGAAGTGTGTGTGTGTGTGTGTATTTCATATATATGTGTGTGTGTATATATGTGTGTGTGTGTGTTTTGTGTATATATAGAGAGGGAGAAATATATACGTGTGTGTATATATAAATCTATATTGTATATTTACTATGGTAATATATATATCTGTGTGTGTGTGTACATATATTACGTACCCCATAGCCTGTCCTTAACCAGTTCTAAACTTAGTGTGAAAAATACATACCTAAGCAGAGAATTTCAAAATAATATGATGAATGTTTTGATACAGGGATGTGTTGCTATGGAACACGCTGCTAAGACACAAAACCTCCTAGATGGGACAATGAATGAACGAAGTTTGCACCTATAGGCACCCCCTCTGATATCCCCACAAATGTTTATAGTTATATGCATTTGCTTCCCCCAGGACCCCCGTTTCATAAGGGTTAGTCCTAGAGCCTAGCAAGTTCCTACTACGGCTGGCACACATATGCCATTCAAGAAAGAATGACTGAGTGAATGACGAGTTAAGAACCATTTGTCAGCCAGTGCTCAGTAACACAACATGCACTGGTATGCAAATTATATTTTTGTTGAAAGCAAGGGCAGGATCACAAATTATCCTTCCAGAGAAAGCAAACCTCAAAAGCTTCTTTACCCTACTAAAGCACATTATAAGAAGCTCCCCTTATATAAAAGAAAACCTCCTCGTTCATTATCAATGGCATGTAAACCAATAAGCCTTCACCTCTGATGACATCTCTTCCATCCCCAGGGCTAGATAAAGGAGGTTCCGGAAACTCTGGTAGTTGTGAAGGCGGCTCCCAGCTCTGACACTCTTGAACCCTGCGGGGGCGGAGGTCACACAGCAGAACAACCGAGGGAAGCATCATCAGGCTTCGAATATGTTTGAACCAGAGACGGCAAATAGGCTTCAACCAGCTGAAAACACCAGAGATTCATGGTGGCCACCTGAGGGGTTGTGCTCTTAAAAAACAAAAATTAAAAATAAAATTAAAAAATTAAGAAAGGAAGGGGTCAAGAATCCATCAGGTCTGACTGAGATGTGTATCAGTGACTAACACCCCGTAAGGCAAAAGTGCTCCGGTGCGCTTTGGGTTCTCTTCAGCAGTATTTAAAGGCGTGTGCTTCCCTAAGACTAAGCCACGGGAATACCCCTAGCAACACTGCCAGGAGAAATGTCTACCATGGATTTGGCTAGAAATACAGTTGTCTTTAACAAATTAACACTGAATAAATCCTGCCTTATTAGAGCCTGAGAGGATGACATTCTCAATGATAACAGTTATCACTACAATCTCCAAACATCTGCGATCCTGCAAGGAGGAACTGTGACAGCGCAGGTCACGTGTCCAGAATGCTTCCCAGACTGCCTGTTACAGAATAAAAGAAATGAACCCCCCCCCAAGAATGTCTTCTCTCACATTTAGCCAGTTGTTCCTTTGTGTGCATCTCTGTGCTAAAATGGCCATTCTTCCCCACAGCCTGAAGTCATATGCTAAAATAAATGAGACTCACATGAAGCCAGAAACGTGCAGATGCGAGGAAACCAACACAACTGAAATGGGCTGGAGAGTGTGGCCAGGAGGATGGTACTTCCCAGGAAGCAATTACTTCATCTCTGCCCATGAAGCAGGCAGCTGTCACTGTCCCCCAGGCCCACACCAGCCACTCGAAGTACGTTCTAACCAAACTACCTCCAACATCAACATCAATACACCACACAATTGGCTTCTGAAAGGACACCTTGCAACCAACAAGAAACTGTTAGCACAACTTTGAAAACCTGTGCAACTAAAAACCTTGGAAAGGGATAAACACTGCCACATTTTGACTCAAATACTGTCATGGGGTAGCACTGCAATAATTCACTGAAACAAAAGAATGAATGAGGAATACGTTTATATAGGAATCAGAGGAAGCATGACTAATCATTTAAAGAAATAGGTCAAGAAACTGCTAGGTTCAAATGCTACCGTGAGACACTGTCAGGGCCTTAGGCAAATTCACTTCTCTTGGTCCTGTTTCTAGGTTCATCAAAAACCAGCTTTGGACTAGGGAATCTGTTGCTTCCCAAAGCCTTCCTTCTGTGATTCCAGCCCAGATTTTAGGACTGCTCTCCCACTTGGTATATGAAAGTGCTTTCTGTGTAGAATAGCAAGAGTACATTTCTGTGTTGAATGAGGTTTGGGACCTACTCTATGAGGCAGAATATCATCATGTAACTTTAAGCATGACGACAAGGCGCACTCTAGAATAAGGATAACACATAAGATGTGGCCATACACCTGTGCGTGCCTGGCAGGGAGATGGAGAAGTCTCATTTAATGAAGCCGCGGTGCCTGTTGCACCTGAATATCCTCAGTCCACGTCAAGTTCACAACGTCCTTCTGACATCAAACCACATGTATCCCATACTTTTCCATACTTTCTACCCAAGATTAAAATATGCAGAGCACCGTGATAAAGACGCCTCCATCCCCAGCATGTTGGCTCTCGTTCTGTAGAATTACATACTTGAGGTACAAAATGATCACCAGGCTGCAGCGGCAAGCAAGACTGGGCTCCGTGGGGACAGCAGGCCCTGCAGCAGCCACCACTCCTGTCCCCACAGTCTGATGCAGCTGCAGAGAAGCTGTGGTGAGGCCATTCACTTTGTGAGAGAACCACACAGGAGGGAAAAGGTAGGGGAGGTAGGGAAGAGGGCAATGTCAGCCTCTGAGCCCAATCCAAGCCACCGCATCCCCTGTGACTTGCACGTATACACCCAGATGGC